TATTCACGCTGACGCAGCAACTTTGCGCACAAGGTACATATAGGGTCTGCCAGTGAACACACCGAGTAGTGAACCGCGAGTAGTCCGCTATTGAACTGGTGTTCGCTTAAGTACATACGTTGATATAACTTAATTAGTAAAACAAAATGGCATGTCCAAAGCTATAATCTTTTTTGTAACGAAAGTAAGTTTTCCTCTTTATCAGAAATTGAGAACTCTACCCCTTATATTCGAACTCACTAGATAGTTACAGGTCCATTGCTTAAAGGCCCATGTTTCAAAAGTAGCTGAACGACTAATATTAAAAAGAAGATTATGGCTGAAGACATAGATTTGCACGCTTTGTCCCAACCTATTGTTAAAATCATTTAAGGATTTTCCGCTTAGAAGGGATACATATTTTTTTCGCATTTTAGAGTACAGTGTTTAAAATATGGTCTCTTATGGCCAAATAACCGCGCAATTTTTTCTGTTGTAAGCTTAAGTCCATATATATACGTCGCCATTTGTTGTGGCATAACATATCTTTTGAGGAAAGGGATAACTTACTCCGAGAGAGAGCCTACGAAAACGAAGATCTTTCCTCGTAAAAACTCCCCTTATTTTTGGTCTTCCGAGTATCCTGGAAGATTTCGGCCTATCACTTTACAAAAGATAAAAGCTGTTCCAAAACCACACGGTCCACGGTGTGAACGTCATTGAGACGCTGCATCATGCGCGATATGCCTTGCGGATGAATATCAACATTCCTCCCGCCGCAACGCACATAAATTAGCCGTCTTAATGAACGTGTGCGTTCGGCAGCGCGGTTGCATATCAGCTCACCTTAGGCCGTTATTCTGTGCAATTTTTATTCTCTGTACTACCTCCGGCTTTTGAAAGGCTGATCTTAGATCTTTTTATTCCTGGGTCGGATATTGGTGTCGTTGCAGGTACGTTGTCTTTTGCTCATATGCACGAGAGGTAATAATAAGTTGTATATTTCAGGCCCAGTGGGCCTCATCAATAAACCAAAA